ATGCCTTAAAAATCTTGCAGAGAATATTATCCCGTTGCTCACCAACATAATTAATGCCTGTCTTTTCTTTGTTTTTGTCTATTTTCCAATTCCATGGAAAGTGGCCAGCATAGTTATGATTCCCAAACAAGGGAAACCCCTAACCATCATTGAATACACTCATTTCTTTACTGAGCACTCTAGGTAAATTCTACGAGAGGATCCTTAAGGAAAGACTCGTAGAATTCCTCGACGCTCACCTCGCCTTTCCAAATTACCAATTCCGCATTGGTTGAAGCAACAACTTTTATTTCAAAATCACTTAACGAAAGGAAACACATAGGCATATTCCTTGACGTCCAGAAGGCGTTCGATCAGATCTGGCACAAAGGTCTGATTAAAAAACTTCACCTTGCTGGATTTACCACACCTTTCGTTAACTAAATAAAACTAATAAATTTCTATCTCTCCAATCGGACGATCAGAATCAAAGTTAACGATTTTTTATCCACACCCTTTACTCCACAAGCTGGAGTTACCCAGGGCTCAATTCTTGCTCTAATATTATACAGTCTCCAATTGTGACATTCCCCGTTTGCAGCATAAATGAGAAACCCTTCTTCTGTATGCGAATGATCGTGTATTCCTTACGTCAGGGCCACACAGAGAGCGTGGACAATTGTCTGTATTCGAAAGAGCACAAAACTGCTTAGACTGAGTTATTAGGTGGTGCAAACCATATCCTATTAAAATCCTAATCCTATTAAATTGTTGCGATGTTTATAGCCGGATAACTCTGTTAGGAGAGGACTTTATTCTCAGAAACTCGGTTTCCTATTTAAGAGTTCATTTTGGCAGGACCCTTAACTTAAAAACAACATTCAAGATACTCTAGACAGGTAAGAAAGAGGTTTAAACTCCTGGCAGTGCTACCGGTAAAATGGGCAGGACGCTATCTAAAACATTATTGCACACCCACAAAACCTTTATAAGACATACAATCGAATACAAGGCATGCGTCTACCCATCACTTAATAGCTACCAAATTAACACCATTATAGCCAGCAAAAGGAAAATCCTTAGATTCTGCATGTGGAAGTGCGGTAATGTGCAGTCATTACCCATTAGCACACATATATCAGGTAGCTAATCTCACACCAATTAAGGACATAATCCTATCCATTAGCAAAAGGTATGTCTTTCGTACCATCACAGACTCGAACAACCGAGCCAAACAAGTATTAAAGACGCCTTGCAATCTCCAAGGGTAAATACTCACCAGGGTTCCTAGAAGAAAAGTTCCGTTCCTTCCAGCTAAACTTTTACACAAGACTGGACACAAACTTTCTGATGAGTATTTTGATATTCTAGAATCATTCCCCATCAAATATCGCAGCTAACAACTACATGCCAAAAACGCTGTTTAAGAGCCGTTCCTAGTATGGCTGGTAACCCCTGAAGTACCTCTTTGGACTTGTTTGGCCTTCTTTACCAATAATTCTTCTTGTGTGCTTCATCATAACATATCGTCCACATCACACACGCCACCTTCTGAACTCTAGCTTTTTAGTGATGGGCAAAGTTTGCATACTCTCAGGTGCTCCACGTTCTGTATTTCCCCACATTCACAGAGTGCCTCGCTGTCTGTCTTGATGCCCCATTTAATGAGGTTCTGTTTTACAGGGGCAACACCTGTGCGTATTTGATTGAGTGTCCGCCAGGTTCTCCAGTCCAGGTTCATTCCATTAGGTCGTTCTGGATGTAGGGGGAACACTTCGGGTGGTGCGACGCTGACATTTCTTATAAACCTTTTCCTTGATTTAAGTCGACTGATTCCCGGCGGTTTGTCAAACCCGTATAATTGGTGCCGTTCATCGAAAGTTTGCCTGAACTTCTCCACATATTGTGAGGCACATCTACGGTCGTCTGGTGATTGATGCGAATCCAGCTACCCGGTACAGTGGGTGTAGAGGGGTAGGCTTCATACAACCGGTAATGATTCAACATGTTTCATTTAACGCCGTGGTGACTTGTTGGGCGTGTCTAGATCTACCAGAGACGGGACAAGCATATTCCCCTGTTAAGAAACATAAGGCCTCAGCTGTTGACTTCAAGACCTGGGGGTTTGCACCCCACTTGCTCCCTACAAGTTTCCGGAGAAGGTGGTTTCTCGTAGAGACCTTTTGTCTTGTGCTATGACAGTGGAATTTATACGTTAGTGACCGGTCTAGTATCACTCCAAGATATTTGGGCCTGTCAGTATGTTTCAAGCGTTGTCCCTCTTAAGAAACATTCAGTTTTACAGGCGCCAGTTGGTGGTTGAGATGGAATGCACATACTTGGGTTTTAGTAGGGTTTGGCTTTAATGAGTTTTGTTTGTAGTAAGTTGACATCATGTTTAAAGCATCTTCCATTGTCGACTCTACTTGTGTGAGTGTTTTACCCTTTACGGCTATACCAAGGTCGTCAGCGTAAACAAAACTCTCAGTCTGAGGGTGTATTGGTTGGTCGTTGGTGTAGATGTTAAATAGGGACGGCGCCAGAACGCTTCCTTGAGGTAGGCCATTCTTTTGGGTTCTCCATCTACTCTTCTTTCCATTTAGCACAACGTAGAAGCGTCTATTACACAACAGTGATCTAATGATATTTACCAGGTCATAGTCAAGCACAGTGTTATAGATCTTAGTTAGCAAGGTTCTGTGGTTTATCGTATCATAGGCCGCTGTGAGGTCTATCAAGGCTACTCCTACTATCTCTTTCTGCTCAAATCCCTCCTCTATGTATTCTGTTAGGTTCCGCACTTGGCCTGTACATGATTTACCTGGTCTAAAGCCTGCTTGTTGTGGGATTAGTTTTGCATCTAATGTTTCCTGGATGCGATTCAAAATGAGGCGTTCATACAATTTATACAAATAGCGTAGCAGAGATATCGGACATTAGCTACTCGGTAGTTCAGGGTCTTTGCCAGGTTTCAGAAGGGCTATTACTTTTGATTTGCGCCACAGTTTTGGAATCTGGTAGGTAGAGCGACAGATGTTAAATAGATCGAGCACCCATTGTCTCGCTTTTTGCCCGAGATGTTTTACCTGCTCCGTTAGGATTTCATCCACCCCAGGTGATTTTCCATTTTTCATATAGTCAATACCATCCACAAGCATCCATCATCACGTTTACCACATTCCCATTACTCCGCAAAAAAAGGAGTACCTACCCCTTCCTTGAAGAGGCGACCACCTAAGCAAGGTAAAAACTCTGGATCGGTGATATGTTAAGACTTTAACACAAGGGATAACAAAAAAAAATAGAAAAATATCTAAATAATCAGCTTAGAAAATGTTTAAAAGATAATATTTCATAAATAAAAGAAACGATAAAAAAATTTTTAATCAGGAATCAGGGAAAAACAGCAATGGATGATAAACAAAATTCTTGTATTGTTGAGGCAGAGAAGAACAAAAATAAATAACAAGGAGGAATATAAATAGTTTTAAACCTATAATTTGAAGTATAAGACTGCTGCGAGAACTGTAACCTGCCGGCAGTACTTGAGCGGTGTCCATTGTTACCTGCTTTCGAAGATCTCCCTCGAAATTACAAGTGTCGCTTGCATAAAGCGACTATATATACAATCATTCGGATACAACAATTGCTCGTTTTAAGCTCGAAATATGATCGGTCTCGAAAGTTAGGTGTATTTTTGTGAAAAATAAAGAAATCTTTATATTTGAGCATATGCTTTAAATAAAACATTTAAAACTGCTTCTTACGATTGCATAAGTACGTGTTTCAAAACTACATAACTCCAGCTACAAATTCCACTCAAATGCGAAAGCTTAAATTCAGCGTTTTTTAGGAATGTTTCAAACGTCGCATATTTGTTGCCAAAAATTAAAATCGAAAGTTCGTGTTATAGGTTTTATAGATTATGCTCTCACAATGGAGACTCTTTAGCGACACGTCAATGAAAGTGATAAATGTTACTGATATCATGAGAATCGTAAAAAATTCGCATTGCATACGAAAGCTGTACTCTTCACCTTAAACACTCATTTAGATTTTTGTCGATAGGATACTGTTACGATTTTAAATGTTATGGCGTATAGAACTGTAAATATTTTATGACTAATTCTTTTTTATTGATTATCGTAATATCTAGGTCAAAAATCTACCTGACACCCTTTGGGTTCCCTTCGTTAAAAAAACAACAATGGAACTTTCTGGGAAAGAGCCGATGAAAAACATACCAGTTTTGAGACCAGTCGCTGCTCTGTCTAGTCGGGAATGCCATCGAACCTTCGACGATGTTCCATTTTAACACATGATTTCATATAAATAACGGAAGATTTTCATTGAGCGGGCAGTCAACAAGAAGATCGCGATCTCGCGTTAAATTGTTCGAACGCAAATAAATTATTTGTAATTATTAAGTGTAAAATAAATTAGTATAAATAGAGACTTTTAAAAAATTATCGTGAGTTTTATTAAATTAGAATAAAGACAATAAATTAGGACTAATAAAAGCATTATAATACTTTGAACGAATTTTAACTATTGGTAAATCAATGTTTTCCACATGTCTCCACTACGAAGAAGGTTTTAGGGGTTAGAGTTTGCAAACTTTTTGCATCTTTTTTGGAATCCCAAGCATGACATTCTCAGAAAAGTTCAGCTTGTTTGTATCATTTTTGGAGATCAAATCTCTGACGATTGGACTAAGATACTAAACGAGGGAAGTGAAGAAGTAATTCTTGAACAGATGAAGCGAAAATTGAATAGTCACAGGAATAAAGAAGAAGACACTCGACGGACACTCAATGGACACTCTAAATTAGTGTGAGTCCATTTAAAAAGTTTAATTTTTTAGTATAATGTCAGTTGTTAATGATTTATATGCCTAATGTTTTGTTTCTCTTAGAAACACAAATTATTGACTACACTAATATTAGTGAAAAATAAATTAAACTGAGAGTAAAATATTAATTTTGGTTATTTTGATGCGTCAAATATTTCATAGTACATACTTTCAACCGTCAAATATTCCGCGTTTTTTTGCGTTACTGAACCTTTTGTAAAATGACACGAAAACAATATTTCTCCTTCCATGGTTGTGTCATTAGTAAAGATGCCGTAAAACCTTTTATACCAGTACATGGTGTTTTTTTCTTCCAAAAGTACATTTAGTGGAACCTTAACAAAAATAAAAAAACAAACCAATAAAAAAAATGTGTAACACGTTTTTCTAGTTTTATTAGTTCAGAAAAATAAGTAAAAAAGTTCCCTGTTGGGTACTTTTCCCAATCGGTTGAATGGAACACACCCCTATACATGGTTTTTGTTGTCTTTGAACGTGCCTTTGACAGCTTATCACATGCTGCTTTATGGACATTTTTAGAGCTAAGAAACATTTGGCATAAAATAATTTCCATTATTAAGTCACCGTACACTTATGCGAAATGCAGCGTGACAAACAATGAAATCAACAGCGACGAATTTGACATACTTACTGGAGTCAGACAGGGATGCGTGCTTTCCCCTTTCTTTTTAAAATAGCAGTAGACTATATTCTCTTTAAACTAGACTCCGACACAAGAGGGATATAATGGACGTTAACCACACGCCTAAGCAATCTGGAACACGCCGACGATATCTGCCTGTTGGGACAAAGGTGCTAAAATGTGGCTGATCAATTGGAAACACTTTCCACTGAAGCCAATAAAGTAGGTTTAAAAATCAATATTAGTAAAAGCAAATCTATGAGAGAAAATGCAAGAAACAACACGCTATTTACTATCAATATCATGCAGATTGAAACTATGGAAAACTTTACTTATCTTGGAAGTGTCATAACAAAAAGCGGAGGTAAAAAGGGCGATATTCGTATGAGGATCAGAAAAGCTCAACAAGCATTCAGCATGCTCAACCCTGTTTGGAGATCTGGAGAGTATACTACAAGGATAAAGATCCGCATATTCCAGTCAAATGTCATGTCTGTTCTATTTTACGAATGTGAAACCTGAAAAGTGACAAAAACCATAACAGATAAATTGCAGGTCTTTATTAATAAATGTCTACGAAGAATTATTCGTATTTTCTAGCCTTATATCATCAGAACCGAAGATCTACTACACCTGACCAACCAAAAAAAGGTTAGAACATCAAATAATAAAGTCCAGAAAGTGGCGTTGGACTGGTCACATACTCAGAAAAAATAATTCCACTATGCAAATATCGCCCTAGAGTGGAATCCCTAAGATAGAACAAAAAGAGGTTGCCCAGTAAAAACTTGGAGAAGATCCATCATGGACGCGATAAGAGGTCAAGGAAAGTCTTGGAATAAGGTGAAGGTCTTAGCGCAAAATAGAACCCGATGGCCCGTTTTCACTGAAGCTCTATGCTTCACTTAGGAGTTCAATAACCTTTTTTTCAGAACTTTTAAAATGGTATAGGGCACTTAAAATTCGGACGTTTTTTCGACATTAATTGAGTTGCATTTGTAGTTAGAGATGGGCTACTCTTTTGAAAGTTATATAAGTAAATAACTGACATCAATACCTTTGAGAGAAGAATTCTTTGAGGGGAAAATCCCTATATAAAGCCGTCCATATAGCACAGGACCGTAGCCAGCAAGCTTATAATATTTAGAGAGTCACCACCCCTGACAATGGCTCAAGAAATGAGGGGGAGGATCAGCTTAAAGGTAGCTCCAGTCTACACCATATTCGAGGCCCTGTATTAGTGGAGATTACGCTTGATTTCTTGGAAATAATATTGCAGTGACTTTTCCTACTTTAAAAGTTGGCAACAGACCATCATAATGTCAGAACGTATTGCGGGGCAAACTCTGACTCAGATCTTGTGGGGGCAAAATTGCGGTAGAAAATCACGACAGTGGCAAATGGGAAAAATAGCTAAATTAAAAAAGAAAATGTTGAATGATTCAAAATTCCAACAAAGACACAAGAATATCAAAATACTCTCCAAATAAAACTCAAGGGAATCAGAGAGAAAAATACTGCAGAGGAAGAATGGAGACAATTAAAAACAATAATAACGAAATCTGCAGAGGAAACTGTCGGAAAAGCCAGAAGGCAAAGACATGCGGAATAATATGACGATGAGTGCAGAACTGCCGTAGAGGAAAAAAGGCAAGCTATGCCTAACCAACTTCAAAGAAACACAAGAAATTGCAGGGAAATTTATAACAAAAAGAGAATACAAGCGACTATAATATGCAGAAGAAAAAAAGAGAAGCTTTGAAAAAACAAGTATAATAAATCATAGAAAATAACAAAAGACACGAGAGCTGAAAATTTTATAAAAGAATAAAAGAAAGAACTCAGTCATTTAGACAAAAATTGACAATAAAGGCAAGGACGGAGAACTACTAACAGAAAAACAAAAAATTATAATGAGATGGAAAGAATACTTTGAGGAAAACCTAAATGCAGACAATGGAAATGATCAAAACGAGACAATATATTTTACGGCGAAGCAGCACATTGAAAATCCGAGTTATGGAGAAGTAGTTCAAATAATAAAGAAACCAAAAAACAGTAAAGCGCCAGGAACGGCAGAATTGTTGAAATATGGAGGACTTGAACTGTGGGGAAGAATCCATTACCTGATAAAGTTGATAAGTACCAAGAAACAAATGCTGGAAGAATTAGTATTTTTTTTTATACAGCCGATATATAAAAAAAAAAGTTAAAAGGGAATGCCAGAATAACAGACCAATTAATTGCTAAATGTAATATACAAAAGCCTTTCTGCCATTATCTACACTAGATTGCCAGAATACTCCGAAAATATAATTTTGATTATCAAAATGGATTCAGACCCAATAGAACCACTATAGACAACATATTCATACTTAGAACAATACAATACTAATCCTTCAATGCAAGGAAATTCATATCGCCCTGTAAGCCTACTCCCAATAATGTCGAAAGTATTAGAAAGGCTACCATTACATAAAATCGATCGAGTTATTCCCATAAACGAAATTATACCACGACACCAATTGAAAATTGAATTAAAAACAATTTCAAAAAATCATTTAAGAGTAGTCTAAAGGATAATAAGTTGAAAATCTATGGAGTTGAAAATAATGGAGATTTGCCCATATATAATTAGAGTTCAATATTAATTTGCTTAAAATGTTCGTTGTATACCATATCAGTTAAAAATGAAGAAAAAACTTCTAGTGTAAGGTACATATTTAATGAAAAATTCGATCGAAACTCAAAATTATTGAGAACGAATGTTTTCGATCTTGGCAGATCATCTTCAGTAAATCTGAAAAGTAAGTAATCCCACTGATTTAAGAAAAATGTGGTTGAAATTGTGACTGTTATTTAAAAAAGTGTGGTTAGAATTACGTACTTACTATAATAATCTTATCACAAAGAACTAGGTGTATTTAAATTACATTAAATATTTAAAAAGTCACTTCATCTAATTTACATACAGATGCACGTCATCAGCGTCATAGCCCGTGACGTCACATGATACCAACACGAAATGTTTAGGCGATAGAAACACACGATAATATGTTTCAATTAATTTTTATAAATGCATTATAAAGCGTTTTTACGAAGAACATTTGTTCGGAACACACTGCAACCACAGAATAATGAACAATCAGAATGCCCACTCTCCATGTAAAATTAGGTACGCGCATCTCTTTCGCGCAGACGTTCCGCCATGTTTTAGAAGGAACCAATGTTGTTTATGTGGTGTGTATAGACAAAATTAACCCGGTTTAATTGACTTACGGCAATCATAGATATACTATACAATTATATTAACATTGTTAAATATAATAACATAAAATGGCATCTGAGAGTGGACATTCTGATTGTTTATTATTCTGTGCTGTAACTGTAATCGAACGAAGGTGAAATTTTGGCATAAATTGGTAACACTTATTTGACAGTTGCGGTGTTGACACTTTTTGTACTTTATTATTTTGAATTTTAAAGTGAATACCTCTTGTTTTATATTTTAAACTATTTAATAAAATCTGTTCTTTTTAGAACAAAATTAGTGTGTTTTATTTCAAAAATGTTACGTAAGAATTTAAATAGTTGTTGTAAAGAGATGGTAATACTTTTGCAATAATTATGTGATCTATTTGATTTAAAATGGAGTCAGGATTTTTTTATACTTTCGCAACTATGTCAACTTCGATCTCTGACATAGATAATGACGAGCATCGGTATGTAAATTATATATATAGTACAGGTTGTTTACAACTGTCGTTGTTTTCCTGTCCCTAGTTTCCATCGTTTCCTATCTCGGGTGTCGGTTTCATTTAGCTGTCTTTCTTCCATGGCTTCATTCACGTCATCTCGCCAGCTTCTTCTTGGACGCCCTCTTTTCCTTCTTTCGGTTGGGATCCATTTTAATATTTTCTTTGGCCACCTCTCGTCTGCCATTCTGTTTACATGACCGAACCAAGTTAGTTGTTTTTTCTGAACTTCATCTATAATGTCTTTTTCTTGCTCCATTCTACGTTTTATTTCTTCATTGCGGATTCTGTCCATTCTTGTCAATCTACAGCTTCTTCTCATAAAATCCATCTCGCTAGCTTGTAATTTTTTTTTGTAAGTTTCTTTTACTAGTGTCCCATATCTCTGCTCCGTATGTTACCACCGGCTCAACCATCGTCTTATATATTCGTTTTTTCGTCGTTCTTGTGATTTTTGTATCCCAAAAAATGGAGTTTAAGCATTTGGTAATGTTTCTGCCTTTGTTTATTCTTGTATTTATTTCTTCATGGCTATTTCCGTCTTTGTAAACACTACTCCTAGGTATTTTACTCTATTTGTTCCTTTGATTTTGTCACTCCCCAATGTCAGGTCTTCGACTGTATTTTTCCCCACTGAGAGATACTCGCATTTTTGTAAGTTCATTGTCAGTCCACATTCTTCGTACGTTGTTTGTAGTTTCCTTACCATATAGCTGAGATCGTCTATATCTTCTGCTACCACCAGATGGTCATCAGCGAAGAATAGTGTATAGAGAATATCCTCGTCTATTTGTATTCCCATATTTCTGCATTGTCTTTGCCACTTTTGTAGAGATCGATCCAGATATATTTTAAACAGCGTAGGTGATAAACACATCCCTGTCGTAGCCCTTTCGTAGTGTTGAATTTCTCACTAAGTTTGCCACCAATTTTAATTGATGCGGTGTTATTTACATACCACTTTTGAGTTGCTATTATTAACGAAGGTTTTATTTCCATGTTTTGCATTTCACTCCATAAATTATTTATCGGCACGTTATCATATGCCTTTTCAAGATCTATCAGGGCTATATGTGTTTCTTTGTTTCTTTGTTGTCGCTTTTCGATTAATATTTTAAGTGTAAATAGATTATCTATAGTCGATCTTCCAGCTCTGAATCCGCATTGTTCTTCTGGTTGTTTCATACGAATGTCTTCTTCTATGAGGTTTCTAAGTATTCGGGAGTACAGTCGTCCTATAGTGGGGATGACAGCAATTCCTCTATAGTTTCTGACATTGTTTCGTGCTGCTTTTTGTATATTGGGGTTATATAGGCCTCACGCCATTCTAACGGGGTCTCTTATCCATTCAGGCATCGTTGGAACAGATCTTTGAGTATTTCCCACAGTTTAGCTGAGCCGTATTTAATAAATTCTGGTGAGATGTTTCCTGGGCCTGGCGCTTTTTTAAGTTTAAAAGATCTTATCGCTTCTACGATATTTGTCATGTTCAATTCAATGAATTCTGATCGTATATCTCTGTTTGCATTTTCGTATTGAAAATTTTGTCGTCCTTCTTGTAGTAACTGTTTAAAGTAGTCTACCCAGTCTTTTTCTGTTATGTTACTTAAATCTAATTTATTGTTGGTTGACGTTTTCATAGATTTTAGCGTTCTCCAGGCTTCTGAACTTTTCGATCCTCCAATCATTTGTTCTATGTATTCGCATTTTTTTTCCCAATATCTATTTTTCCTTTTTGTTACTTCCGTCTTCACCAGTTTATTTAGGTTTTTATATATTTCTTTAGAGGGGTCGTCTTTTTTATCTAGATATGTTAGGTATGCTTCTTTTTTCTTCTTTATCATTTCATATATTCCCTCATATCACCAATATGGGTTTTGTTGTCCGCGTCTTTGAGTGCCTATTGCCTCTTCTGCTGCTTCTTTAATAATGTGTATTATGTGCTTGTATTCTTCTTCTATTGTTCTATTTTCTATTACCAGTTTTCCATCTAACCTTCTTTGGTATAAATACTGCACGCTGTTATCTTCTAGACTTTGTAGATTATAGTGCTCTTTATTTGTTGTTACGTTCTTATTTACATTTACTGTTTCGTATTTTCCCAATCTCGGTATGGTCATATTTCCGATTACTAGATAATGATCACTTCCACAGTCAGCTCCTCTCTTTACCCTAACGTCTAAAACTGTTAGTGTTGGTTTTGTCTCATTATAATATAGTCGATGATGGATTTCTGGTCTCTAGAGCGATGTTTCCAGGTATATTTGTGTATATCTTTGTGTGCATAGAAGGTGTTTATGATTCTTAAATTGTATTGTTCGCACAGATCTATCAGTCTTTCGCCATTATTATTTCTTGTAGGTTCTCCATGAAGAAAACAGTGCAGTAGTAGGACGACATGGACATTGTATGTAAATTAGATGAAATATATTAAATAAACGTCATATTGTCGATGATTTTGTCGTCGACCATTTATACTTTTAAGCATCTATTACTAATTAATATAACATCCTTTTAATACCAAATAAAGTGTAACGGGCAACAATTAGAATCGCAATAATAAATTAGAATCGAATTAAAACTGGAAGATCCAAACTAAAAATACACAGGTGGAGGTTAAATCCTTAAATTATTTTAATTTACTTACTTCAACATGGTCAGAATCGACCATAAACAGCTTCACCTCGACATCAGGCGCCGTTGGACGACACGGTATGAGGACGGTATCCCCCTTTTGTACGTAAAGGTTTTCAATGTTGTTTCTGGTAAAGTCTACGTCAAGATACTTTTCATCTGAAAGAAAAATCGCAGGTAATTATCGAGCAAAAAGAGAAAAGAGGGAATCTAATCGTTATGAAAAGGGGACCAAAAAAGTGGCCTCTGATGGCTGACATATCCGGAAATGCAAATGCGCCAAATTTAAATTTTCCGACACTAATTAACAGTAGCTATAAAATAGTTTTTTTTGTCTTCTAAAGCTCTGGAGAGATTAGGAAATGCCGAAAGGTCTTAATCTCGATGAAGGAAAAATCCGAATCTGCACCTCCACGCGGTAGAGGACGGGCAACATCAATTTTGATGGCTAACGCAGATAGGGACCGAGTGATTGCCGGTATAAGCAGTCCCCCACTTACCTACCAACGGCTCCGGGCGGACGAGTTGGTAGGTGGTAGGGCACTCTTTTGTCCTGGGGCTGAGAAACCGGCCCCAAAGGCGGAAGAATCAATGGTTTGGTCAACGGCATAAGAATATAGAAGGCAACGAGAAACCACTATATTAAAGATCCCTATGGATATCTCTAGTACAATCATAATGGCTGTACAACTCAATAAAAATTCGCATACTGATCATGGACATCGGAGACCAAGATCCGGCAAGAGAGGTCATTCCCATGACCACAGGGCCTCTCAGGTCGTTAATATGCAAAATCCCTGTGAAATACCCAATAAAACACCTTTAAGAAAAGTCCACACGAATTGTCTGAAGAGGATATCCACTTGGAACGTTAGGACGATGGCTCAATCAGGAAAAATCCAATGCGCAATTAAAGAAATAGAACGCATGAAAATAGAAATAATGGGCATAAGTGAAATGAGGTGGCCTGACTCAAGTTATTGTGATATAGGAGACTACAGAGTATACTATTCAGGATCAGAAAATGGTAAATATGAGAATGGGGTTGGAATTATCACGCATAAAAGTATAGCCAAACAAGTCAACAACTTCATACCAGTGAACGATAGAATCCTCCTGTTACAAATAAATACGTCACCGGTGAACACAAACATCATACAAGTCTATGCACCCACAGCAGACCATAGTGACGAAGAAATATCAGAATTCTACAAACAAATAAGCAACCTTATAAGAGATATACCGAGACACGAACTCCTTATAATCATGGGAGATTTCAATGCAAAAATAGGTAACGGAAAAGAAGGGCAACATATTGGTCCACATGGATTAGGAGAGAGAAATCAACGCGGAGAAACAATGAGTATCTTTGCAGCTGAGCATGACTTAATCGTGCTAAACACATTTTACAAACTACCGCCTAGACGCCTGTATACGTGGAAATCACCTAGAGACAACGGAGAAGACGTTATTATGAGAAATCAAATAGACTATATGCTTGTTAACAAAAGATATCGAAATAGTTTCAACAGTGTTAAAACCTACCCAGGCGCTGATATTCAATCTGACCACAATCCTTTAGTGGGCGTGTATAGAACTAAGTTAAAGAAAATACGCGGAAAAACTGTAAAAAAACATGACATGAGAAAATTGAAATGTAGCGAAGTAAAAGAAATAGTCAGCAAAACATTAAATGGAAAATTTAAAGAAATCGATAATACAACGAAAAGCACAGAAGATAAGATAGAATCCCTTAAGAAAACAATAGACGACATTAAAGACAATTTTATGAAGAACGAAGAAGGTAAGAATAAGACATGGATGACGACAGAGATTCTGCAACTAATGGAAGAAAGAAGGAAAAACAAGAACGATAACTCCATGTATAAAACATTACAGCGAGAGATACAGAGAAAGATCAGAGAAGTCAAACAGAAAGAACTGGAGAAAAAATGCCAAGAAATCGAAATTCTCCAAAGTAAATACGACGACTTCAACGTGCACAAGAAGGTAAGAGAAATTACAGGTAAATGTAAAAACAGAAGAGTAAGTAAACTTGTTAATGACAATGGAGAGATAATCGTGGACAAAGAGAGTATCAATGATACCTGGAAAAATTACATAAGAAATTTATTTTTTGATGAGAGAGAGAACCAGCCCCCAATACCTACGGAAACAGGACCACCTATACTAGTGGCAGAAATAAGAGCAGCCATAATATCACTAAAAGAAGGTAGAGCTCCAGGACCAGATGGAGTACAATCTGAATTTCTTAAACTTCTTGATGATGAATCTTTAAGAGTACTATGTAAAATCTTCAATAATATCTATGACACAGGCAATATCCCAAAAGATTGGCTACTTTCAGAATTTATTACCTTACCAAAGAAACAGGGAGCAAAAAAGTGCGGAGAATATAGGCTAATAAGTCTAATGAGCCATACATTAAAACTTTTTCTTAAAATTATACATCGTAGAATATACAAGCTATGCGAAGAGAGAATACAAGACACACAGTTTGGATTCATGAAAGGCGTAGGTACAAGAGATGCACTGTTTAGTCTACAAGTATTATTTCAAAGATGCAGAGATATGACTTGCGATATTTACACCTGCTTTGTGGACTACCAAAAAGCATTTGATACAGTTCAACACCAAAAAATGATGGATATTCTAACAAAAGCCCAAATGGATGATAAAGATCGGCGTATAATACAAAATTTATACTGGAACCAATCAGCCACAATAAGAACGAATTTTGGAGGTGAACCAACGGAAATGATCCAGATTCTACGAGGCGTTAGACAAGGTTGTATACTTTCACCTATATTATTTAATCTATATTCAGAGGAAATATTTAGTGAAGCCTTGGAAAAATGCGAACATGGAATACTTCTAAATGGAGAACGCCTAAACAACATCCGTTATGCAGACGACACCGTTATTTTTGCAGACAGTTTGAACAGTTTACAGCAACTAATAAACAAAGTAAATGAAGTAAGTGAAAGATTTGGACTTCAAGTAAATATAACAAAAACTAAATTTATGATCATCAGCAAAAATAAAGTTAGAGACGCTCAACTACTTATCAATAATACACCAGTGGACCGAGTAAAACAGTATAACTATCTTTGAACAACAGTAAATGAACAATGGGATCACTCACAGGAAATAAAATGTAGAATAGAGAAGGCTAGGAGTGCATTCAATAACATGGCCAAACTCTTTAAAAGCCACAATCTTAATCTGGAGATAAAAGTAAGGCTCCTACGATGTTATATCTTCTCAATATTGTATTACGGAGTTGAATCCTGGACACTAACTGAAGCAATGGAGAAAAAACTTGAAGCCTTCGAGATGTGGCTATACAGGCGAATTCTAAGGATATCATGGACAGATAAGATAACCAACGAGACCGTATTACGAAGAGTGGGCAAAGAAAGAGAGGTGATGTATACCATTAAAAGGAGAAAGTTGGAATATCTCGGACATATAATGAGAAACAGCACTAAATACAGATTACTGAAGGTAATCCTACAGGGTAAAGTATTCGGAAAGCGAGGAATTGGGAGAAGGAGAATATCATGGTTGAAGAACCTGAGGAAATGGTTCTCCACAACAACAACGAATTTATTTAAAGCAGCAGTTAATAAAATAATTATAGCCAGAATGATTGCCAATATTCGGAACGAATAGGCACTGAAAGAAGAAGAATAAAATAGTTTTCAGAATGTGTCTTAGACGAGAAAGTTTTAATAAAATATTAACGATAACAGTCTAAAATGTGAAACAATTGTTAAAAATCTTTAATATAAATAAGATTTCATGTGACAGTTGGGACAAATAATAACATAATCCAACCAAATTTGATTTCTTAAACAAGGAAAGACTCTCTTTCCTTGTTTAATTTGACCTCTCAATATGGCACTTCCTGTCTAACAATACTTTTGCCCCCACTACCTTTACATTTCCTCTTTTACAAAACAAAAGCTGAAAAACAAATATAATGCTCTTTAGCAAACGCTTTAGAGCTAGTTTAATTCATCCAAACCAAGTATTCAATAACAATTCTATTGAATATGTAAAATATATTTATTTTCTTGGCATGAAATTAGATATCCGTTTAACTTGGAAAGAACATGTGCACTTTCTTCGACAATCTACACAAAATGGACTAAATTTATTAAGAAGTATTATAGCTCACAAACAATGGGGCGCGGACTTTTAAACATTAATGACTTTATACAGATCCCTAATTCGCTCAAAACTTAATTATGGTGCAGTTGCATACTACTTCAATAGGCCAAACTTCTCGATCCAGTTCACAGGTTCAATCTCATCTTTATTTGATTTTCCATATGCACATATAGCTCAATTACAAATCTGCAGAAACATTCCTTAGTGACCGAACTTCTGCAAGTTTGGCACCAACCAGATGGTCCGATCAAATTCAGAATTTAGCGGACCACTCATTCTGCGAAACTCTAAAACAGCTAAAAGAAATCACATTCCCGAGAAGAAATGAAGAGAGGGAGAAAGAGAGAAAGTAATTGTATCCCACCATTCTTTGCCAATGACTTTCGGTGTAGGCTCATCAATTCTCGTAAAAATTGTTCCTCTCAAATTTTTGTCATAAATTATCAAGATGTTCGTTTTTCTTGAGTTGTTCGGTCGATGTTTGGTCAGCCAATGTAGTTTAGTCATCTTCTTTTTCTTCTTCTTCTTCTTCAGCCTTCATTTGTCCATTGTTGGACATAGGCCTCCTCCATTTTCTTCCACGCTTCCCTATCTTTGGCAATTCTCATCCACTGTTTTCCAGCTACAGCTGTTATATCGTCTACCCATCTCTTTTTGGGTCTTCCTACTCTTCTTTTTGTTTCTCGAGGTCTCCAGAATGTCACTTTATGAGACCATCTGTTGGTGTCTTGTCTTGCTACATGTGCTACCCATTGCCATCTCAATGTCGCTATTTTTCCCATGATGTCGGTTACTTTAGTTCTTCGACGTATTTCGGCTCCTCCATGACCCGTTGAGTTACTCTTAATTGTTCTGCCATTTTTCTGTTATTGCCATAGTTTCCAATCCATAAGTTGCAACTGGTAGTATACAAGTGTCATAGGTTTTTCGTTTTAAGTGAATTGGAATTTTTTTGTCTTTTA